AAATATTACAAATGGTTGCAAAGGCTCAAGAATATAGAATATGGACATATGCAAAGACAGACCATTGGTCTGTTGGGCTCAAATTGGTCCACACTGACTTTTGATGGTGGTTTCCCAGGGTTTTAGGCAGGTATTTTAGACTTCTCCAGTCCTGTCTTGAAATGCTGGGAATTAAATTTGGGACCTCCTGCTTGCAAAACATGTGCTCTGCCATTGAGCTAAAATAGTCTGCCAGGCCTTAAAACAAATGAATATGTCTAACAAGAGTCGGAGGCTGAAACGCTGAGATGCTGCAAACTATACACTCAGGAATATAAAAGGGTAAGAGGAAGAGGCTACAAGAACATGACAAGCAACCCTGCATGTTTATTATCGTTCACATTTTTTACTACATTCATCCAGGGAGACTACTACTTTATTGTGGTTTCCATCTTCCCTGCTCATGTATCCCACCAGCCACTGTGCCTGAAGTACAATGCCAAGGTACCTATGTCACCTGCTTCTTTCTACTAGTTTGGTCCACACACACAAGCTAGAGTGGCTCCTGCAGTTGTTATTATTTCTAGACCATTATGTGGTAGTCCCATACCAGGACCATGTAAACTGTGATCCTAGGTTGAGACATGACAAAAAATGGTCATACAGAGAAACCATAAAACAAACCACTGTTTCTCATCATGGTTCTAAAAACCAACTTACCATGGCGAAATACCATGACTGGGTTCAGTCAATACATCAGATGATAAAAATGTAAATTTAAAATTTAAATTTAAAAATTTAAAAAATATGAGTTGCTGTGTTGTTGGGTTGGTGTTTTCTCATCTGCTTTATAAAAATCGTACTAAGGGTTAGGACATTGGTTGACTAGCTGTCCCTAACTCAATCATCACAAAGAATGCCTGTTTGTAGGTGGTAGTCTGGTGCCATATTGCACACATCTGCAGAAGGGGGCCTTCCTTGCCATTGGAAAGTTAGAGACAAGGAAGGGAAAATATTTAGAAAAGCTGAGGGGCAACAAATAGAGTACCCATACACACCACACATGCATATATATTAGGGAACTTAGGGGAAAAGTTGAAAGAAGAAAATCACAAAATCAGGAAAAAGTAGATCCAGCTGTATAGAAAGAACCACTAAGGAGAAACAAAGTATATAATAAAAAATAGAAATCTTGGTAGCTCACAGACTTCTTGAGGTACTAAAGGTGGTCAAAGAAGAACCGAGGGAATGAGCAGGAATCCCTACCAAGTATAACAGATGTCAGGCTGGGGGTGGGTTCCCTCCAAAATGCTATTAGCTATAAAATCATCCCGACAACAGGCTCCATGCAGCCGCAGAGCCCATGTGTGTACAGAGACTACAATGAAGAATCTCTTATTGTACCCTGATTATCTACATTCAACAGAGATCATTTTATAGATATGCTGCTTCACTGGTTTTAGAAGCTGAAGTTGTCCTCTGTCATTGCTATTGGTAGCATTCAAGAAGAGCATTAGTGCTTGCCCAAGACATGTTCCTGTACAAGTGGCATACATAAAATACCCCAAGGTGAACCCTTTTCAGACTTTATCTTATCTATTCATCTCTTCTGCATCCATTTGTTCCACTAAAGCAAGTCACCCCACCCTGCATGGCCTGCCCAGCCCTGCATAAGATACGAAGATTATACAACTAGTGGAAAGAGATTAAAGTAATTTGCAAGCACAATTGAGTGAAAAGGTGCAAACGGCAGGTCAGAAGTCAATGAACAGCATGCTAAAGACTAGGAAATGATGAGTCTACAACTTAGAAACTCAGAACATTTGTATTTTCTACTGTTTATATTTAGCTGATAATATTGCTGGCACTTTATTTATATAGTTTAAGCCTGTTCTTTGGACTGGAACTCATATGCCTTGGAATGCTTTGACTCATGAATTGTTTCTCCTGATAATGTTACATCACGTAACTATCTCTGTTTAAATGGTTAGTATTAGCCTCTCTTGTGATGCCTGCCTTCAAAGTCGTATGACTCTGCCATGTGTTTCTGCATATCTGATTTCTTACTGTCACAAAAAGAAAAAATAAGCAGTCTTTAGCGATAACTTTCCTAGATGGGAACAATAGTAACAACAGTAGCAACAGGTTGATCAACAAATTTTGCCAGGCTTTTATTTGCTGCTTTGGCAGCAATTAACAGAACATATCATATAAAGAAATAAAGACCATTAACAATAAGGGGGAAAGGCACAGTTCTGTATTACATAAATCACTAACTGTCTTGGTCGAGGCTTTACAGAACTGGTTGGCATATTCAAGAGCCTCAACATCCTTGAACAATTGTATTCTTAGGCCATAGATGATTTACTGAATAAAATTCATTTTAAAAGAAGGCAAATGTTGGTTGTTTGGTCTGATACGGGATTCTGACAGCATCTTTCTTCTAAATTGGTAAACATAAGGTGCCTTCATGTGCTTTCTAAGGATGAGTTGAAAAATAAGATTGTACCACATGGAAATATAACTAGTAAATGGTAAAAATAACATAGAGCATGATTGTTCTTAACAAAGCACTTTTCTCATCCACTATTTTAAATAACAATTTCTAAATTCTATTTCAGCAATTTGCTATCTTCCAGATAAGTGTATAAAGTATCAATTTCAAGCTCATCTGTAATCATTTTATAGTAAACCACCAAATTAGTACCTAGTTCTAAAAAGAAACAATGGTTGCTAAAATCAAGTTGTAGATTATTGGGTTTAATTTAAACTCAACCATGCAAGTCTAAATCATTTCTACTGGGCACAGTATTTCTGATTCAGCAGAGGTTACACAATCATCAAAGCAGTTAAATATAGGTGCCAAACCACACTGCCAGGAGCTCTCAGTACTGTGAGGTAGTGTTAGCCGACACCTTGCTGAATATAAAATTACTTGTTTCTGCAACTGAGGACAATCAAATTGTCACCTTCCATTGTAATAATATGCAACTGCTGATCAACAAAGTGCAAATATAATTACTCCAAAGCAACAAAGAGAAAATGTAAATATCTTTCAATAATAAACACATCCATCTGGCTATCCAAAGTCTTCATTTTAATATCCAGTGGTATGCAGAAATTTAGATGCTAGCAAACCAGAAACAGAAGGTTTTTGCACTATAGTAGCAGCAGAAGTCATACTTAGACGCTCGAGTGTATAGTTTCCTAAGCTGAAGCAAGCTAATCTGCAGCATGAATGCCACAATCAACATTACTGTATTTATTTATATTCAAATATATTTTCTATAGTGGCACCTATCACTTGTATCCAGACTTGCTCACACTGGAAAGAGAAGGCAAAGGAATGTTCTTTACTGATTCTTCCTTTCCATGAAGCACCTTGGGAGTCCCGAAAACCTGCAGTAAACAGTGGGATGGCATTTTAGAGCAATATAAAAGCATAGAGGGTTGCAGAGAAAGGGGAAATTGGGAAAGACCATCTCCTTGCTCCTTCCTTCACCAATGAGCTACTAGAGATCAATAACGCACAACTGTTTTGTATTGATACAACCCTATGTGGGACATGAACTGTGCAACCAGCTAAAGCCATAAGTTACTACCAACTGCACACATTAAAAATAATTAATTTTATTTTGACCAAATATTTTTTCTTAAATTACCTATGGCAAGTTTTCATTTTATCTGGGGAATTACTGGGAAGCATAGATGTATGTATACTTCTCCAGATTTATGTATTTATTATATTTATATCCCACCTTTTTTATTTCCAAGGAAGTCAAGGGAGCTTACATAATTTTATTCTGCTTCTCACAGCAACAACTCAGTTATGTTGGGCTGAGAGTCTGTGACTTAGCCCCATGGCTAAGTGAGCACTAGAACCCAGATCACTTGAGTCCTACACCCTTAACCACACCCTTAACTACTGCAACATACTAAGATATTAGTCTACTACATGTGCAGGCAAGTCAACAAAGTCTGCAAAATATAATGTTAACATATTTTAAAGGTTTTAATGATATTCTGAAATAAAGCAAAATTCTGCACATTAAATATCTATAAGCCATATTCTAAACACAGTAAGCAAATCAGGCTAAGCTAATAGTGTTTGCCTACATGTTGGGATTTGTGACTCGGGCTAACACAGCCTTCAGTGCGTAATAAAAATAGCTCTGTGCCTCACATTTACTGAACCACACAACATGATATGTTACAGACATCCAGGACTATTCTTCCCTAGAGAGACTAAAAACTTTTACAGACCCTGTACCATAATCACTAGTGAAATGCAGTTGTCACTAAGAGTACAATGTGGAACTTTTTTGAGTAGTAAGTAATTTGTTTTACAAGACATATATTAAGGATAACTCTTTCAGTAGAAGTAAGACAGTAGATCTCCACAGATAAAATGTTAAATGGTTAATTGGAAAGGAAATTTTTGAGCTTTTCTCACAGTCTCACTTCCATTAATAAATGACATACTTCTCAGAACAAGAAACAGATGGTATCTTTCTTACTGCCCTCAAGACATGCAAAGAAAGGCAATAGGTAAATAGCACAAGTAGCATTAAAGCCATCATAAAAATGCATTCCTCCATTAAAAAATGATGCATACAACCTTGAAAATTAGTCTTCTTCTAGTCACTCAGAATATTAATATTCTTCTTCTAGTCACTCAGAACATTAGTATAGAGATGCTTGATGAATTCTGGTGTGAGTTAACCTGATGGCCCTCCGGCCTAATATGTGGATCAAAGATGAATCATCTACCTGTTTTGGCACTTTTCAAATATTTCAATGCAGCTATCACGTCAAAAAATACCAGAATATGTTTAAGAATACATATTTAAGAAAAATACATTTTAAAATATCTGCTCAACTACACATTTAAATTTTGATTTTCATGAGATTATTTCTCCTTTTTAATGTAGATTAATGTAGAAATGGGATGAAATAGAGGTATGGGAGAATACATGAGAAAGTGACATTAACTAGAAATACAGTGATCCATACATCCTTACTGGATCAATACTGCCACCATTGTTGTACAGTCACGAAGTTGTTCCCGACTCTTCGCGACCCCATGGACCACAGCACGCCAGGCTACCCACTCCAGTATCCTTGCCATGAAAACTCCATGGACTAAAAAAGAATTACAATGTAATAACTTAAATCAACACAAAGCAAGTTTTTTAAAAAAATCCAAATGCATAAATTTAGTCTAAATATAGTAAATAGTTGTTTGTATTTAAGCATATGAAAGTATTGCATGATGTTGTCAAAGTACAATTTACTTGTTCTTGTATGCTTAATATTTATATATTTATTTATATCCCATCTTTTATTCTTTCAAGGAACTCAAGGTGGCTCTCATAATTCTCCTTGTCCTTGCAGTCTTCAGTCCTCCTTTTATCCCCACAACAACAACCTGTGAGGTAGGTTGGGCTGAGGTTCAGCTGAGGGTCTGTGACTGGCCAAAAGTCACCCAGTGGCTTGCATGGCTGCATGAGGATTAGATCTCGGATTGCCTGAATCCATTCCCAGACTCTTAACTGGTGCACCATAGTGGGTCTCTCTGGCTAAGTACACAAATTAAGAATATAGTTCCAACTGGTTCACTTAAACAAAATCTGATCATCCCTGGCAACAAGTTAGGAAGATATATGGCTTCTAATGTTGGTTCACGGATACACCCAAAAAAGTCACTACTATGTTTTTTTTTTTTTTTTAAATCCCAACATAGGAAGCATATACCACAGCTCACTCAAGATCCAGGCTTAGATATGTGCATGCTAATTTCTCTTGCTTTTAATACCTAACTGAGACTTAGTGCATAGTTATAAAGTCTTTCCACTCTGATTTTCATCTCTGGCAATATGAGCAACTTTCTTTCAAATTTAAACAGTGAGGAGATCACAAAACGAATGAATTAGTGAAGAACAAAATTCAGCTAAAACTGTTATCAGTGAAATAATAGGTTACATTTAAAACATACACGCATTTCTACTTGGAAAGCATTTATTGTAAAGCATTGGTGATTGTTTTGTATACTTGGCAAGTGCCATAGTTTATTTCTGGGTTATCAGTGCTGAAGCCCATAAGTAAATAGGATTAACCATTCTTAAATAGTACTGTAGCCAATATCTAGACTCCTTCTGAAGTCAAGGATTTTGACTCTGGCATTATAATATAACCATATAGGGCATTTGTTTATATTTATTTTTCAATGTACAGAATTTAGCAGGCCAGAAATATAAGAGCTCCTGAGTAATCATTGTATTTGAACAGGCACACTCCAACTGAACAGGACAACTGCTTCCATATTATACCTCTGCCAGACAGAAGTATAAACATCTGTCTTCCTCTTTGCTATATCATAGAATTGAATTGAGAGGCATTGTAAAGAGTGACTTGTATGCAAGTGTTCTTATTACTATAGGAGAAGTTTCTCAGAATCACAATAATGCTTTCTTTCTAAAGAGCACTGAAAGGCTTGTATGCCACAGTCAAGCATCCAACAAGAATTGAAGACCGGAAGCAGTTCACAAGGTGAGTATCAATTTTATGATAAGCGTGATTTTTTGCAAGGTGTCCTCAAACCTTGTGTCCTCAAACTATGGCCTGTGGGCCAGATCTGGCCTGCCATGTCCATTTAACCGGCCCGCCCCAGAGGTTTTGCACTCATCATGCGCGCATGTGGGCACACAGCTTGCTCGTGTGGAGATTGGTTTGGATTCACTCAGAGAAAACAATCTCTTCGCAAGCAAGCCAGCGCCTCGCTATGTGCCGCCTGGCAGCAGCTTGCTCGCAAAGATTGTTTTGGACTCGCTTGGAGAAAACGATCTCCGCTTAAGCAAGTGGCTGCCTTGCCCCACGTGCCCCTGCCTCACCTTGCATGCCCCCGCCTTACTGTGTACACACACATGCACCCCGGCCTGTGCCCCCTCCGCCAGCACAGCCTTGGGGGCCCATGCCCACCGTGGGCACCTTTCAACTGGCCCCCTGTTGGAAAAGTTTGAGGACCCCGGTCTATACCTTCAGCTAACATGTGCCTTTGTCTGTAATCACAGCTTATATAAATCTTAATCAGGACTGATTCTGCCATGCAACAAGGCAGCACTAGTGGAGCCGGAAAGTGGGAAAAACAGAAGTTATGGATGTATGTGTGGTCAACCACTTCTTCACTAGTGTACTAAGTTGTCACAGCATCATTTCCAGCCCAATGCCTTTTTTGGACACCAGACTCTGTGAAACTTCTGGCTACCATGCCAGTAATAGTAAAAATGTGCATACATGATTATGGAACTCCATGTGCACCACAAACTAAGCTTTGAGTGACTCCAAATAATGTACCCAAACCTCAGGGAAAGTGGCCTCATACACTCATGCATTGCATCCACAATAATCTTTGGGCCATCCTAAACATTCCCCAAATCTAAAGCAGTGTCTTCTATGAGAGAATTAGAAAACTTTACATAGGAAACAAAGCCAAATATTAGGATTTTTATAAAAGCCATGGCAAACAAAGCTATGCTGACCAACCCAAAGAAAATATGCATTTCTGGAATCCTATAGTGCTCAAAACTTCCATAGTTAACTTCTGCTTTAACACACATTCAGAAATGCATATTGCACATAAACAACCATGCATTACATCAAAAGCAAGATATCCCACAAAAGCCCAGATAATTTAATTTTAAGAGCAGTCTTCAGTGATACTTCTAAAGGCAGGATTTTTCAATGTATCTAATGCCGGTTGATTCAATTTTCCATTAATTCAAATTAACAATCTCTGCATGCTACTATTTTAAACACAACAGAGTACAACTGAAACATTTTCTCACAGAGCCTGATATGATACTTAAGAGATGAAAATCAAATTGCTTTCTACTGTGGTTTTCATCTCTGACTTGGTTTTTCCTATGTCTTTAGCAATACCAATATGATCTGTATTTTAAAGGAAAGAACTAGTTTTCTCAGTGCTGTCAATTTTTTACTCTAGGTTCTCTGTTGCATTTGTCTTTTTGCTTGTGTTTACTTTAAATAATTTATCATAAGAAAGAACAACATAAAATGTTCATTGTCAATTATTTTACCAGTCAAATCCCTGTAGTTGAGTCATTTATCCATTTACAAGAGATGTCCACAATGAAGCACTGGACTTTACTGCTTTTCTGTTAATGGAAGGGCTCCAAGGCTAGTATCAAATGCTGGCATCCTGTTAGCACTAATGATCAGCAGTAGCAGAAACTAATGCTGGTGCAATGCAAACAGGAAGGCATAACACAGGCAGCCACTCTGGAGAGCTTTCAGAGTTTAAGGAGCAAACTCAGCTTTTATAGCTCTCCAGAGAGCCCACAGGGCAAGATATTCTTGCTAAAGACTTTGGAAATCATCCACGTTGCCACGGTACATGAAGTCTCCAATTTCACCTCCACACTTCACTCTGAAGAAAGGTCCATCAGAGCAGGGCAATGTCCAGCAGGGAGGAAAGAGAGAGAGGAGGATAGAAGCAATGGATGATGGGACAGCAGAAGGAAGTCTTGTGCAGATGTTGGTTTCCATTTGTACAGCATCATTAGCAGAATACTAGTGTTGGACACTACCCATCGTTCTACCAATCAAAGACATTATGCAGCTATTCCATCTTTCTCTCCTTTACAGATTTTACATGGTAAGGAAAACAAAACAGAAAAAGCAGTAGGAAGACAATGTGATAAATGGAAGATGATATCTAGACCTTTGTAAAGTTCAAGGAGAGAGGTATAAGAACTTCAATGGACATACCATTTGGCATCCAAATCATCATTGTTGTATGACTTGATGCAATAGTCAACAGAGCAACTATACTGTAAGTTAAAGCTACATTCTGGAAAATCCAAAAGATTTATTGATGGGAAGTTCAACAATGACAAAATAATGGCCAAAAGATCATTTGCAAGCCATTACTGATTTTTCCCCTTACACTATTTATTACACAGTAAGGCACATCAGACCTGACAAGGATCCCATGTGAGGGAAGTATCCTACCCTCAAATATTTCCAGAAGTCTTTGTAAAAGATAGTACATCTGAAATAAAACTATACAAAGTCAGCATAGGACAGTTCCCTGAAGGAAGAAAATTTGAAAACTGCCAACTGTGAGAGTATAAGAGAACTGTGACAAGATGCCACAAAAGGGTAACTGCTGATTTACAGACCTGAGGAGAATCCAATCATTTGTTGCATAAACAGTGCAATAGTAGGCTACATTAAACATGAATTAGAGACAGAAATTTGGATATACAAGCACTGTATAACTACTGAGTAGAAGTGATCTGAGCAGTGAAAACTCTATTACTTCAAATATTCATCTGGTAAAACTTCTTTCTCTGTCTGAGCAGACCAAAACTAAACAAGTGATAGTTTAAAGAGAACACGTTCTCACTATTTTTAGAATCAGAAAGAAGCTCTGTGGTCCCTACATCATTCTGCTGTAGTTCAACTCCCTACTATGCACCTACTTCATTTTATTAAAATGGAAACTCCTCCGTTTAGAGAGATGTAGAGAGAACACATGGCTACAACCTGCAATGGAGAGTAAAATGGACATTATAATTGTTTTGTCTATACTAAAACAAGTAAAATCTGTGGTTTTTCTGTTTTATTGTTTTATTTGCTTTGTAATGTTTAGGGTTTTACCATTTTTACTTTTTTGTAAGCTGTACTGGGGATGCTGTTTGGCCATTGTAAAGTAGAATATAAGTGTAATAAATTAATAAATAGGCTCAAAATATTCATTTTTACTGCCTTAATAAGATCTGGGTTATCTCTACAAGCCTGTAATAGAAATTCCTATAGTACCCTGTGTTGTGTTTAGTATGAATAAGGAAGACACTTATCCAGACACTCCTGATGGGTGTTCTCTAGTTTACTTAGCCTGAACTTGGCGGATTTTCCAAAACGTTTATTAAAATAATTTTGTGATCAGGGAAGAGGCCTGAGCTATTTCAATTCACTATTGTATATGTAACAAACTAGATTAGAACGCAATATAAACAAACATATGTTACAAAGCCACGTGCACAGTTTCCTGAAATCTGATTATAAATGACAGCTGATCCATATATTCTCCTCTAATATAACCCTCCAATCTATATTTG